AGTCTGATCTGCCACAATTGAAAGGTATTACAGTTGTTTTAAAGTGTTAACTTAGACCTGTAATCCAGCTACTAGGAGGTCACAAATTGTGGATATTTATAGGCACACACTGTGGATGCAATACTCCCTGGTGTGGATTAACGTCCGCATGAGTGAGTACTACGACTATCCGCAGTACTATCCTGATAATTATACCAATTCGTATATACCAAGGAAAATGTGGTTCGGATTCCACTATAAACTGTAGGTTCCTTAGTCGCCATTAGCTGTATGGGCTATAACAGCTGTGTCTAAGGAATTTCGGCCTTAGTCACTAACAAGAGTACAAGATCACGCCACTCATCCTACACTCATCTCCATTCATACTTGGCTTAAAATACCTACTATGTATGGTTGCCATTTCATTGAACAGTATTGAATAGTATATTGGAAATATCTCGAGGTTTAAAATATTGTAAACAGCGCCAACAGCTGCGAAATACAAGGATGGATATCAGTCAGCGAACCTCACATTAGGGCAGTTTACCCCAGCAAAGTGGCTGTTTGCCAAAAGTCCGTTTTATTCTCTCCGATTCCCGGAAATATCGACATTCATTACATCTCCACCATGTAATCTGGTTGGTAAAATGCCGCTGTTGGAATTTATGGCTTTATTACAAAAACCACTCGTTTCATCCCCTAAAACGAGATAAGGGGTTGACAACGCGGGGATTTATTGGGTTCGTGATGTCGCGTTTTATTGGTGGATTTATTTTCTGTCGCTCTGTAGAATAATTAATTGAATAACATAGAAAATTCCAAGGATGATTGTATGTAAATTGATTAAATATTTCTAATGCAAAAAATGTTTTCATAGACAAATTATCCAGGGTAGTTAAGTACGATTTAAAACCATGTAAAAAGCTGCATTTGTTTGAGAATCGGAACCTACTTGCTGTAATTTCCTCTAATGTTCCATAATCCTAGTTCAAACAACCTCTTGTCTGATACGATTGATTCCAATTAGTTCTAATCGAGTCTAATGTCAATTATCAATTATCAATTATGGGGACGCCACTATGTGCGTATTTTAACCCAAATATGAGTGAAGGATGAGTGTAGGATGAGTGGCGCGATCTTGTAGTCTTGTTAGTGACTAAGGTCGACATGTTCCTTAGACACAGCTGTTAATTAATAGCCCATACAGCTAAATGACAACTAAGGGACCTACAGTTTATTTTGTTGTTCTAATGCTTGGTTATCCAAATGTAGGCAAGTAACTTTTACGCAAAATAGCCTAAGTGCAACGCTAGAGAGTATACAGATTGGTACGTATGTAAAAAAAATATTTCCCACAAGAAAAATGCTTACACATATTATTACATAATCAAATTCATTTTCCAAAAGAATATTTTACATAGTTCAAACCTACAATTTTAACTGTATATCATTCACTTCAACATATATACACCAACGTGTATCCATCACTCCTTCACTTAGTCTATTCTTCACATTAGCATCCTTCACTTAGTTGCATCCTCCAGGTAAGCTATCAAGTCAGCTCGCTCCTGTTCCTTCTTGATGCCCGCGAAGATCATCTTCGTCCCAGGAATGTACTTCTTCGGGTTCTCCAGATACTCAAACAGCGTCTCTTGGCTCCAGACGATGCCTTTGCTGACGTTTGCATCGGTGTAGGCAAACCCAGGAGCTTGCCCTGTCTGTCTACCCAGCAGGCCGTGCAAGTTGGGCCCTACTTTGTGTTTTCCCCCCTTCTCCACCGTGTGACATTGAGAACACTTTTGTACAAACACTTTCTTTCCTTTCTCAGCATCTCCGGGAGGAATAACCATTTTGTTTAGGATTTACTATAAACGTTTTGATTTGAAATTTTGTTTACAAGCAAGTCACGTTTGTTTATTGTGGAAATCAGCTGATCTTAAATTTAATTTACAGATGGAATAATTTTACAGTAAGTAGGGGGAGAGGTCCTTGAAGAACAGATAGAATTAACAACCAACACAAGTAGACTTCTCATCCCATTGTTAATTTTGAAGCTCGTTTTTCATGTCTAGTTCATGTACGCCACACTGGGCGCTAGTGTCGACGAAATTTTGTTTCTATTATTTTAGGGTTAATTTATTGATTTGTGCTTTACTGTTTGGTTATATAACTAGGGAACAAGTTATTGTTTATGATTAGATCGTATTATTTGGCTAAACGAGGTTTTAAATGACTGTATTAACGGGAAACAAATTGTAAACAAAACACGACCTCTACATAAACCGTACAGAACTAACAATAAAATTGTCTTCAGCTGTTCCATTGGGATGAGAAATCTACTGCTCTACAAACAAACATTAGGAGAGTAACACAGCTTCAACTGTAAAATATCTGCCATTTAAAAAACCTGTTTCGTTGGTTAATTTATTGTTATGCTTAATTTTATATACCTAAAAAACTAAAATTTTGGTCTTAGGAACCAAAATCCAAATCAGAATGAGGGCAACAGCATCTGAATTAAATCCAGATAAGGAACCAGTATTGCCGTTGACAAACATTTAACTTTTAAAATTGGCTCATCCATTTTTCTAGACGATAATAAATGAGTATTCTACCATAAGTTCTAGTACAGTACGAAAATTGGTTATGACAAGGCGAAAACGGGTTGTATTCGTATGTTAAAACGTTTATATTTTTATATGCATATTTCACTATACAAAACACAGGATTGACATATAAATGCGAGAAATCTTTATCATTATTTTAGTTCGATGTTTTTTATATATTATTGCCAAGACGAAAGCTGCGTATGTCTCCCTGTTAGGCCCCAACAACACAACGACTTGATTATCCATTCAAAAGGTAATCTCTGGTTGATCGTTAATCTTCCAGTTAAACGATAACACAGGAGAGGAAGAGAGGGGAGTGAAGAAGAAGAAGAAGGGCTGGTGACAGCCACAATGGGACGATAATAATTATTCACTATCCATTTATTATTCCACCCTTCCCTCAGTGGGTGATGCTTGAGTGAAAAGGGATTTCTCTGAATCAAATTTCGAAATATACAGGGAATCTAAAGATAGGAATCATATTGGTATAGATATGTGTAGGCGAATTTCCCTTTGGAAAATAGCTATTACCGTTGCTGGCAAAGTAAGAACTGGGACCGATTTACTTTTTCATTTTTTTATATCTCAGAGCAAAACCGCTACTCGTCAAAATTACTACCTATATTTTTGCATAGTTTTACCTGTCCTCACATTCACGCCCAAATTTTATCAAAATTGGATCAAAAATTACTCATTATCGTTTTTACGAGTGTATGTTTGTGTGTTTGTTAATAGTGAGGTACAAAACAAATACATTTTTCATATTATGCATAAACAAGCAAACTGAAACAGTCGACTTTTTTAGTAAGAATAGCACAGGACTTTAAGTATAAAGTTTTGAGGTTTTTCTCTTAACTTTGTACAACAATGCTTCAATATGTTTTAAGTTATACACGATAGTTGCAATACAAATTGACATTTTTTATCTTTTAAAGGTCAAATGTTGGAAAAGAAATTTCTGAAAAACCCCGTTCCATTAACCCAATCTCACTGGTTCGAGTTTGCGGACCCCGTTTATAAAGTTTGTCTCATCATATAAATTTATTTATGCCAAATGATATCAAAATCGGACCATAATCGCACGAGTTCTCGTGTTCACAGGACATACACAAATTTTGACGAATGTTCAATAAACTAAAAAAATATATCCGTCCCAGATCTAGGTCTTACCGTGCTACCTACGGTGTTATCTTCCTCCGTATACGGAAATTTACTAAAATGTGTAATAACTTGTTTATACCATTTTGTAGCAGACATTGTAAACACGTCCAGTTTATAGAGTTTTTACAGCTCATCTCACTAAACGTTCTCTGTGTTCATCACCATAAACTTTACACCCCTGTTACAGACAATTTTGTCTCTTTTTTATTTGGAAATAAAACCAAGATGTGGGCTTAGCATTGGTCTGTAGACAAAACGTAAACACATTTATTTCATTGTGTTTTACTAGATGGGTTCATCGCTCAGTTTGATGTAGGGTTATTTTTTACTCTCAACCACATATGATTTTATTGCTAGCTGAGGAGGTTCATCTACGTGAAATAGTTTTCTTCTCTTTACATACCTCTTCATGTCAATGTTATTTTTTTACAATTATTATTAGCTTAAAGTAAGCTTCGAACCGCCGGCATTGCCACATATCACGAAAGCTCTAACAAAATAAGTCGTGTACTTACTGGATACTAGTTTTCTATTTGTATATTTTATGTAAACGATCGTTGAAAATCTGTATAACATTAGGGTTGAGGCTGGGCTAGTGGTTTGGATTGTGAATTCTGTCGTAACAGTTCGGGATCAAATCCCTCTGTGTTAACACATTAAACAGATGGTCCTGAAGCACACTTTAAGCTGTAGATCAATTTAACTACTAAACAATGAAGAATATGTATACCAAACTTTAAAACTATTTCTTCATCGTAGAACTATATATCTCATAAAAGTCATTTGTCGAAAATGTTCATCCTAAAATCTAGAAACACTCCTAGACAATAGACATCCAGGTACATAGGAGCTGTTAATAGAATAGTGGACCTAGTAAAATAAATAAATATTAGGCTATGTTTAAACAATAATAGATGATCAAAAGTGTTCTTATCGTCATCTTAGGGTGGTCGCAGTTTCAAGTAAAATTGTTTTCAAACCAGCTTAGTCCACGACCTCCCATTTGATCAAATCACTCAATATAATTAGACCTTACCTAACCTAACCTGAATTGTTACACCCTGACTAACCTCCACTCTTAAGACACTGATATCAAAGAGGAAGTCAGTGTTTTTATTTTACTTTATAACACTGATCCCTTTGATTTTGTTTTGTTACTGATGGTAAAGAGGAAGTCAACAGTGTTTTTATTTTACTTTGCATCACTGATCCCTTTGATATGTTCTCTTTCTACACTGTTTCATATTTCAGTGTTGTCCATCAGTGAGGCACACAACCTGAGCTGTTACCAGTGTGTGAGGACCAGCAATACACAGTGTGGTCCAGAGTTCCTGCTCCCGTGTCCTTCCAACAAGGACCGCTGCGTTACACACATCACCAAAGACGGTAAGAGGACAATACACTCATACACTTTAACTATAGTGTCATACGAATTATGTATATGTACGCTGACAGACAAATTTTTATGGGAAGATAAAGTAATGAGTGTTGAATGAAAGTTTATCTTCGTTACCAACTGAGATCAGCTGTTTATTTAGCTGACCATTATTAGTACAAGCCCAATGATTAAAACCCAGGTTTAGTTTCTAACCATATAAACAAATTCTGGCTTTCCTCAGGGTCAAACTGGCGTCTTTCACGTTGCAAGGCAAGCACTAAAAGCACTCAGCTAAAATATATGTCTGTCCTTTAATCGCGAAAATAGCTAGACCAAATTGGTACAAATTTTGATCATAGATCATGTAAAATGGCAGCTTCATTCAATATTGCATTTACCTTCGCACATTGGCGTTAAAGGCGTGTGCGTGGATCGTATATTGATAGAGGACACGTGTTTTGTATCCTGAATATTTTAGAAGATCAAAGTGATAAGGATCACTATGTAGCAGGCCTATTGATAATCAAACTGTAATTAAAGTGTGTACGCACCATGTCTCAGACAAAACATATTTTTTTCAACACATTCGTATAGTTTTAATGTAACGAAGAGAATATACAATAAGTTTAGAAGACGTGAATAAATATTTACACACCGAGATACAATGAAGACATTTGAAATTATAATTGATCAAGTTCTTAGAAGTCATTTCACTTGCAGATTAAGCTACGTTTGAGTTTACTTTATCTCATAGGGAACTCAATATTTCTTTGTTGCAGTGATAATATTTGGGGACCTTCGTTAATTCACTACCACTAGTGGAATGTGGTTAGGTTAGGGTTTTCTAACTCTATACTAAACTATAAACTAACCTAACCTAACCTAACCAAAGTTTAATTCACCACCCCTTGTATTACTAATAATCTATTGCTCTAAAAACTAGTGGTAGTAAACTAATGTAATATGTTCCAATTTGGCTATTCAAATATTCCAGTTTTGGCATTTACATTGCAGATTCCATAATTAAAAGATTTCAGTTTGTTATAAGAGGCTATCGTTTAGTTCATGAAACACTAATACTTCTTCAAATTTGACCAAAAATACGTACTTTGGAGTTTTCATTTTCCAATATATCGTTTAAATTATTCGAGCATTACTTTATTTTTAATCATCACCGCGTATTGGGTGAAAAAGACACGGGGAAAACATCAGGAAAACCGGTCAAAAGCAGGTTCGTTTAACTTTCCAAGAGCTGAGTCAAGGGGAGGAAACGAGGGACAGCTTTTGATCATTGTTCAGCTCACTGATTTGTTAGTTGTATAGAAGGGAGGACGGAAAGATTACAGAGAGGAGGCACCACAAATGAACGTTCTTTCTCATCAAACTTCTGATTTTCAGCCTTTTCATTAAAGTTTGGAAAAAGTTGGGGGGATTTTTACTATTTATGTATATTGTTATTGTTGTTGCTAACGTATATTTTAGGTTCGAAGCACCAATTTGGTAGAAGTTTATAGTCCAGTTTGAATCCATTATCTCAGTTTTAGTGTGCTAATGTGTGATTTTCCTACATGGCTTGTTTAGAATTACTGCCCTAACATTTTATTAGCAAACTAATGTTTTGCATTGGATACAATACGGTGATGCACACACCTCATTCCGTTAAATAGGATAAATAAATAGAATCAACACAATAAACAATATTTAACTTTTCATCAAGCTTTTTATTTGCCATATAGGTAGTTCATCATCTATTACTTATTTAATACGCAAGCAGGTTTTTGTGACAATTACTCCTCCGAAACTACTGAACCGATTGACATGTTTTTGGTGTCATGGGAAAGAGCGTAACGTGAAGTTGTGCAGGAAACTTTCTTTTTAGGGAAATAATTAGAGAGTGAGGCCCTGGGACCCTTTAAAGTTTTGTATTTCTCCATAAGATTAACATGGGAAAGAAACATTGTTATGAAACTCCAGTTGTTGTCAGAAATTAAAAGTGAGAAGAAGAACATATGTTAATTGTAAAATTGTGACAGAGAGGTTATGCAGAAAATCTGGTAGTTAATGGTTATTTGGTGCTATTAAAATAAAGACTGAAATTTGTAAAAGTACTGGCGACAATGGGTGATACCATGCAGACTACAATTGACAAAGACCAATATGGACAACCTATTGCGGCTATAAGTGGGAAACATTTCTACAATAGACTAAAAGCCAGATCAGCTTTTGAAACATGATAAAATATTTACAAGAATTGTTGATTATATTGAACTGTTAAGTACATTGTAAGTATTATTATTAGTTACGTAATCTTTTAGTTGACTCTTTTAAACTCATCGGAATTTATGACTTATATTTTTTCTTAAATAAGTTATTTGTTTTTAAATAACTCCTTTACTTCTTTGCGATTGGTCGATTTCGAGCAACATGTACACTAGTTTTTTACAAAGAGTAAAAGTTTTCACAACAAAACTCAGGCAGTAATAAAAGCTAGTAAAAAATTGAAAAACGAAATGACACAAGGGAAAATAAACCTTCTTAAACGGGGGATTCCCAAAATTTAGAGAGAGAACCGAGTGGAATTTCAGTTTTAAAGATAAATATCGAAGATGCCAATGTATATTATGTGTTTGGAAGAATTGATAAATTCACCTCAGATCTGCAGATAACGATGGATTTCTGATAACGAGGCAAATTTAATTCCTTAAAAATCTTCACTTACCACGTAGAACCTTTTTCGTGTAAGTTTTCCTAGAATGCATAGTACTTTTCGGCGTCAACCAGGTTTACAGTTGAAAAGTGCTACCAGACGTTTTGTCCTTGTTTTGAAAGAGGTGTCCTCATTTGTTGGGTTTAGACAGTCTCAGATTTTCGAAAACTACCTCAATCTGAGCCAAACTACTGATGACGCCACTTCAAAGTAAGGATGAAACGTCTGCAATCCACAACTTAAGACACAGTTGACGCTAAAAACAAACTACAGGCTCTAATGACAACGCCTAACCTAACCTAACCTATACAACCTAACCTAACCTAACAAACTACAGACTCTAATGACAACGCCAACCTAACCTAACCTAACCTATATAACCTAACCTAACCTAACAAACTACAGAATCTAATGACAACGCCTAACCTAACCTAACCTATATAACCTAACCTAACCTAACAAACTACAGAATCTAATGACAACGCCTAACCTAACCTAACCTATATAACCTAACCTAACCTAACAAACTACAGAATCTAATGACAACGCCTAACCTAACCTAACCTATATAACCTAACCTAACCTAACAAACTACAGACTCTAATGACAACGCCAACCTAACCTAACCTAACCTATATAACCTAACCTAACCTAACAAACTACAGAATCTAATGACAACGCCTAACCTAACCTAACCTATATAGCCTAACCTAACCTAACAAACTACAGATTCTAATAACAACGCCCGCGAAAGCTTTAAAAGATATGAACCTTCTGTTTCAGCCAGCACGGGCTACACGCTGAAGAGAGAGTGCGGCCTGGGACCTTGCACATTTGAGGACGAAGCGATCCACAAAGGCCTCGGAATCTTCGGCGACTGTGACACCTCCAAAGAGGAGTTCTTCTGCGTGTCCTGCTGCAAGACAACCGGCTGCAACAAGGACCTGGCCACGACACTAGCGCCGCCAACGGTCAGCATAGCAATCGCGGCGGCCATCTTGGTACATCTGGCGTAGTGAACATGTGATCAGTGATGGACCTTAATAAGTTCAACAATTAACATCAGCTGATAGTTATCAATATTGTTTCACTTCGGCTAACGGATTGTGGAAGACAAGTTTGTTAAGTCGTTTAAGTAATGGATCAGATCCAACAGGATTTTTAATTACAATATCTTGAAAATAACCATTAAATTTATAAAATTGACGTAGAAAAGCTTATACTGTGTAAATAATATTTTTTAAAAGCAAATTTTGTGTAATACGTCTACGATTCACAAAAATTGAAAGGTCCATAGTAAAACTACAAAATATTATCATACTTATCAAGTAAAGGATTAAAATGGTAAATAGATTTAGGATTTATATTTTATAATTTACAAATATGGTAAAATGTCGTAATAAAAAATGTAACACGAACAGTGAAAATAATGTGCTTAATTATTTTGACAATTTTGTTAGAAAGAAAAATAACAGTACTCAAAATATTATTTTTATACTCTAGAGTTAAGTTGTGCTCAATACTATCACTAGGTAATATGATACTATGTAATTAAAAGTCATAAGTCATAATTATATGTGTTTTGTAAATATTGTGCTCCACGTTGTTAGAAATGTATATTAGACGTAGAAATTGTGATTGATTTCATTTCACCCCTTTAACACTTCAGGTTAGAGCGAACTCCTAAAGTTAAATATTGAAAAAATTCGAATGTGCTTAAAAATAATAAGTTCATACTTACAAAAAATTCAAATCCGCCCATCATAGTAAAAGATGTTAGTTGTTGAATTATGCAAAAGAAAGTCAATTAATGAAGCTAATTAGGTTTCGTTAAGATGATCCAAAAAGTCATTGATTCACAATACAAAACTGTAAAAATACAAACGTTTACGTACAAATACTTTCGTACAGTAAAAACCTAAATCAAAGTCCAGTATCGACTTTCATTGTTTTCCAGTGTGCTTTTCAATAACAAAAATCAAATAGAACTCAATCAGCATGTTAAATGGGTTTTGTTTGGAAGTGAGTGATTCGATAAAAACAATGCATTCCTGTTCAATACGAAACAGTCACAATTCAGTATTTACCTCCATTGTATTCCAGTGAGCTTTTCAATTACTCCTTCGGTTTGGTTTTCAAACAATACAACTTACACGTAGATTAAATTAGTTTCTGAAAGTAATTTATTTCGGGTGAACAAAATTAATTTAACTTTTGTAATTAAAGCTATATTGAAGTTAACACGATTGGTAGATGTTTGCAAAAAAAATCAGATCCCTTGTAATATTTGAGAAATGTTTGCCATCGTTTTGAGACAAATAAAAATGTTGTGTGTGGGAACACCTATTTCAATACTCAGATTCAGGTTCTCCTAATATACGAAAATTTTTAAACGTTTTACAGATTTTAATAGAAAAGAAAATTTTAACATTAAGTTAGCTTATAAAGTTATAAAACTACATAGCCATCATAACCAAACAAATAAACACAGCAAAATATGTGTTGACTTGAAGATGTTTAAATTGTTGCAAACGGACAGACATACTTGGAACTTTATGTCTTCATTACAAAGGAAACGTGCTCGAGACGAAGTTAGTGCTTTTCTCAAATCAAATAACTCTTAAGTTGATGTTTTCAAGACCGGAAGCAATTCTAGAGAGCACAATAAAGCCAGAAACAGCTGAGAAACTTCATTTCCGGCGCAGCTCCACTGCTAACTTGATATTACTCCGTGTCTTCTCCATTGCCTTCTATCGCTCTGCCGGTAAACTGCTCTCACGTTTGTAAATATGTTTTGAAACTTGGTAATTTCGGAAATTTGTTATACTTATACAGTTGTAACTAATTATCAATAAACGAATAACATATTAAGTTCTTCTTTAATTGTTTATCAAACATGTTTTAGAATCAGCCAATTTAGAATGACATAAAAGTATAATTTTTAAATCGGGACAAATTTATGAATTTGACATGGTTAGTTTTTGCGATTTAAAAACATCAAGTAATAAATAAATAAACCAATAACGTATCGACGAAATTTCCAGATCGTATCTTTTGAAGTGGAAGAATTATAAAAAAAAAAATTTGTCCTTAATCAAATTGTACAGTTCTGAAAGCTATTTAAAAAACGAAATGCGCTACATATACATAAGACATGTCCCAATGGTGCAATATATACTCAGGAAAAGGCGCTGTATGTACTCAGAAAATGGTGGTATAAATCCTGAGGTAAGTTTAATACATATAATCAGGAAGAAACACTATATTCTTAGGAAACCCCGAAATATATACCTAAAAGAAATCTATATACTCATGGACATTTACTGTACATAACTAGGAAAATGCATTGTTCAGCAAAAATTTAAAGGTATTCTCAAAAAAAATTCGAAATACACCAAAGAAACTATTATGTCCTCAGGGTAGCCTAACACTCAGATAAAACCGATATATGCATATTACACAATAAAAAAGAAAATACTAATACTCAAGGTGGTGTATACGAATATCTATAACTTCTCTCTCAGCAGGCTAAAAAATCTTATCATTCACCTATTGGGTCTGTTGATTATTGGAGTGTCCAATCGAAATCGATCACCACTTACCATCTGTTATGTATATTTACCGTCTTGTGAGTAACAGTATAAGTGTAAATATGTTTTTAAGTCTTATAAGACGTTTCTTTTATTCACTTTCCGTAAAGAAATATGACAGACTACTTATAGTGCAGTAAAAATAAGAGAAAAATTCCATAAACCTAAAAAAAATTAGCACAACCGGGGAATTTGGTACAGATGTTGGGTGTACCTTCCTTTTGAACATACTAAAAGTCCCCTAAAATTGAAGCTGTGCTACGGCCGCCATATTGGAAAATGGCGGCATATTTCAGTATTTTTCGCTATAGTGACTTTATTATTAGAGATACAGGAAAAAGATAGATATACAAAATGTAGGTCATCTAAAAATACACATTTTTTGTATTTACCATCTTTCTCTAAACCCAACGGTTTTTGAGTTATTTGTTATTAAGTATATTTAGTTTTTTCTGTTTATCAAAAATAGGTGAAACACGTGGAAATTGACCGTTACTTTCAAAAATTATGATAATTTATCCCATTTAGTTAAATAGTGTGATACTATAAAATATTAAAATTTAAGCTTATTTTATAAGTAAAACAACTCTGCCACAGTAAACCTTCAGACTCAGCAAATTTCTGTTTGATTGGATGTTTTATTAATTGTATTTAAATAAAATTAGATTCAACAGGTACCTAGGTTTGCTATAGGTAGGTTATTATAGTGTGTTTTTTTTTAGTAAAATATCAATAACTTAGTATAAAATAATTAATTTTCCAAGTTTGATCATAATAAATCTATAAACAAACAAACTGCAACAGTTAACTAATTAATAATAATAGCATGTTAGCTTAAGATTTACAATTTACAAATTTTAATATACAAATTTTTGTTGTGTTTACTAAAAAGATGGCGATTATTCGTCACGATTCGAATACTAACCGAAGGGGTTTTCAAAAGGAGATGAAGCAAGTAATTTAAGTACTGTAATATTAACTCGTACCAAGTATCGGAAATATTGTATACAGTGAGGAAATCCATATTTTGTAAACTACGCAATAGTCATATTAATATTTTATACTCATTTTTACCCAATTAATAAATTAACATTTTAATATTTTGATGGCTTACCACTATCACTCTGATATCAACTAAGTGGGATGAATAATTGTCGTAAACCTTGAAAGTAACCGTCGATTGCGATGGGTTTCACCGATTTTTGATAAATAAAACAAACTATACTATACCATACTTAATTAGTCACCAACATGAACTAGACACGAAAAACACCCTTCCAAATTTACAATGGGATGTCAAGTATAGTTAGTTAGTGTGGTGGTGCCATCAAAATACTAAAATGTTAACTATTAAATGGGTAAAAAATGAAGATAAAATATTTATATGACTATTGCGTACTTTACAAAATATGGTAGATTACCTTACTGCATGCAATATTTTTGGTGGTTGGTACGAATTAATATTACATAAATAACAGGCTCCATCTCCTTTTGAAAACCCATTTGGTTAATATTCTAATCGTGACGAATAATCGCCACCTTTTTAGTAAACACAACCAAAATTTGTATATTCAAATTTGTTTATTGTAAATTTAAAACTCCCATGCTATTCTTATGAATTAGTTAACTGTTGCAGTTTGCTTGTTTATAGATATATTTTGATCAAACTTGGAAAATTAGTTATTTTATTGTAAGGTATTGATATTTTACTTAAAAAAAAGACAATATAATAACCTACCTGTAGCAGCAAACCTAGGTACCTGTTGAACCTAATTTTATTTATATACATTTTTTAATAAAACATCCAATCAAATGGAAATTTGCTGAGTCTGCAGGTTTGCTGTGGCGTTGGTTTTACTCATAAAATAAGCTTAAATTTTGAGATTTTATAGTATCATACTATTTAACTAAATATAATACATTATCATAATCCTTGATAGTAACGGTCAATTTCCATGTGTTTCACCTATTTTGGATAAATAGAAAAAACTAAATATACTTAATAACAAAAAACTCAAAAACCGTTGGGTTTAGAGAAAGATGGTAAATACAAAAAATGTGTATTTTTAGATGACCTACATTTTGTATATTTATATTTTCCCTGTATCTCTAATAATAAAGTCACTATAGCGAAAAATACTGAAATATGCCGCCATTTTCCAATATGGCGGCCGTAGCACAGCTTCAATTTTAGGGGACTTTTAGTATGTTCAAAAGGAAGGTACACCCAACATCTGTACCAAATACCCCGGTTGTGCTATTTTTTTTTTTTTTGGGTCAAAACATATTTTTACTGTACTATTAGTAAACGTTTTCCGCGTTGTATAGTTAAATGGCAGCTGGTACTGGCGTTATTGGCGCAGTTAACCCGGCAAAATATCAAGTAACAGCTGACTGTAATATGTTACGGGGTGTTTTGGAGGGAGGGAATGCATGGGGAGGTAAAGGGAGGGAGGTGGTTGCTAAGCAACAATCGGGTAGCACCTGCCAGATGTACAGGTGATAAATGTATGTTTCGTACAAACTTTCAACCGTGTGTTGTGAATTTGTAAAACTTAATATTGCCATGAGATGAAAAATATTATTTATTCCCAACAGAAAAGTGTGCATTTTTAATTTGAAGAATATTAAAACCATTTAGGGATGGAAATGGAATAGGGGGGGCGATGTCTACTTGTACCGGCGTCTAGTTGTACCTGCTGCATTTTGGTGACAGGCGTCTAGTTGTACCCCGTCCAAAGCTGTAGAGACAACTTGACGATGGTGCGGACGTCTAGTTGTCTCTACGTCTAGTTGTCTCTACGTCTAGTTGTACCTCTTAAAAATCTACAGGTACAACTAGTCGGGAACGTCACCGTCTACTTGTACCTCATACGTCTGCGTCTACTTGTACCTACGACTACTTGTACCTACGACTACTTGTACCTACGACTACTTGTACCTACGACTACTTGTACCTACGACTAGTTGTACCTACGCCTACTTGTACC